AAGGCAAAAATGTAATTAATTCAGAAAATCTTTTCAGGACCCCATCTTGATGTTTCGGGACCCCACTTTGGGTCCCGACCCCAACTTTGGGAAACACTGCTTTAGAAGAGAAGGGGTGATTCATTCTTTTTAGTGCATCTGCTGAGAGGGTTGTTTTGTTTTACTGATAAACACACAGACTCTGGCTGGCAGGCAGTGAGCTGGAATGGAGTTCAGATTTTTTTAAATAAAGATTTTTAGAAGAGAACCAATTTTCTGCAAACTTATTCTGACTTCCCATTCTTGATGACATTTTTCTTACAAAACTGGTGACCTCGACGTGATTGGATGATCTAGAATAAGCAGAGAACATTTGATTTGTTTTGCATTACTGACATTTAAAAAAAAACTAAATTTCAGGTGATTTTGTCACATTTAATTAAAGCATACTTAAAATTTGTTTATCTGGATTTAATCAGGGCGTATTTAGGATTTTATGCATGACTGTACAAACTGTATTTGTTTACTTATAATAAAACATGAAGTTATCCAAACACACACAGGAAACCTTGACTCTACCTTGTCAGGAGCTCTAGAGTAATTAAACAAAAACTGAATATGAAATGGTCCATGGAGTGGATCAGCCAGGAGGAGCTTGTAGCAGTGTGTAAATGTGTGTGTAGGGTCTGTATATGTGTGTGTGTGGCTCCACACTGGTTACACTATAGGACAAGCCAGGGTGAAGCGGCGAAGCTGTATGATGAATGCTGCTCCATAACGAGAACTGAAGGGGAACGATTAAACCATGTCCACCAATCACCTCCTGTGGAGCCTGAAGGAAACAAGCAGGGATACTCTGGCTCTGCGCTCAGTGGCCCTGACAGCAGAGGACACACACACACACACACACACACACACTGGAATGGTGATTTGATTTTTTTTCACCAACAGTGCGTTAGACAAATATTAGCAAACCAAATGAGCTAAGAAATGAAATGATGAGCAATTCAGAAATTGTTAGCTAAAAATTTACATCAATAGTCAAATGTTTAATCTCTTCTGTCGCTGTAAAATATGTTCATATGCTGGAAAAATGTGCTGATGAAGCAGTTTGATTCAGTCCATTTGCCAATTTCCTAAAATTTTGTGTATTTTTTAATATTAAACAACTGAGAAAAGGGTGGTTGTTTAACAAAAGTTACACATTTAAAGAGGAGCATCTTTTTTGACTCTTTTTGCCAAATGTTTAAGTCCACACACAAACAGCCCACAGGGACCACAAAGCTCTCATGTCCAATATCTCCAAAGCACCTATGATTCCCTGAGGTTTCTGTGACTTTGAGTCACMCTGTTCACTTTCTCACTTTCACTTTGCCAGCAGAGGCCATTTGCTTTTCCTGCAAATTATTTGTGATAATCCAAGCGATCATGTGCAGCATGGGAGGGATTAATGCCACGAGGGACAGCAGGCCTCAGAGAGGAGAAGGGCAAGAAACCATCTACCAGCTTCCTCCATTTATCGGTTTATTCTGAAAGTGGATTCGCATGCCAGGCTCTAAAATTTATACATCTTAAAGGAGACGTATGATGCTTTTAAATCCTTCTTTTTCACATTCAGATCATTCAGCTGGGGTCTGTGTAAAGTAGAACTGCAATGCTTTGCTCTGACTTCCTCCTTTTTGTAACTCCACTTTCATCACTTTTCTGTGTGTCTCAGAGCAACTCATTTTGAGGCTACCTCTTTAAATCTAAATGAGGTGCTTCACACCCCGCCCCGCTCCAACTTCCTGAGCAATCTATTGTAGCCTGATAGAGGGGTTTACGACTGTATAGCGATATAACATCGCAGAAACCTTTTATTTACAAATTAAAGCACTAATTATGCCCTATGTTTAGAAGATGTCAACACCAGAAGACTTGTCCATCCAGCCTTCCATGCCAGAGTCTGACCCAGAGCCACAGGAGAATGAAGATGATGAAATTGTAGTTGGTAAATCCGGACCTTATTTAGAAGTTCTGTCGCAAATTCTGTGAGGTAATAGTTAAGAAAATGTAGAAAAAAGAGAAAACTGAACAAGTTGAAAAATATGACCCAAACAGAATGTAAAAATGTCAACGCAGCACCGGGAGAAACTAAATTGAACTTTTCTGCACTACTGACTCCAAGCACACAACAAAATGCATTTAATGGCTAAAAGAATTGATTGTCTATATGTCTCCTTTAAGAGAGATACTTAACTGATATGTAGAAAGTTCTGGAAATGATGCCTAAACTGAAATTTATTGTAATTCCACAATAAGTTGACACAGAAATGAACTGATATTCATTAGAATTCAGGTGTTAAAGTGTTTAAAGCTAAAAATGTATGTAGGAGGACATTAGGATCTGCCTGTTTTTGTGCTTGAATTATCTCTTATTAATAAATACATTATTATATCCTAAACTACTAACTGTACCAAAAAAAAAGTTGCATAACAACAACAAAAGAATAAACTGAGTGAAACTTGCAGCCTGCAATCTAAAGACAAACTTTGGTGGCTTACATGCCGCCTTGTAAACAAGAGAAAATGCAGTGGAAACAACAAATGGCGTCCAGTCAGAAGTGCATTGGCTGCAAAGGTCAATGAGGCGCTGTGCCGACTCCGAGGAGATGAGACAACGATGCTCTTTATGGAAGAGGAGGCGGTGCTCGCCTGAGGGGCTACCATAACGACACCCCTCAGATCTAATTATCAGGCGTATTGATTGGTCAGAGCCACCTGCCTCTCCACCCACACACAACCACACACAATTACATCTGCAGACAGGAGCACAAAAGAAAAGGCTTTTCACTTGCACATATGAGAAGTGCATGAGCACATCCATATATTTACACAGTTTCTGTCTGTTTAACGAGGAAACTGTTAGTCGCCTCACATTTGGTCTCTTCGAACAAAACCGCCTACGCGCGCAAACACACAAACCTGGAACAATGACACACTCAGTGATATACCTGCTCACACCCACACAGCCAGCCCACTCTGGATGAACTAAAACACTTTGGACATTTTCAGCCCCTGATGTGAAGCTGCCATTTTGTTCCAGAGAGTGGTTTTGACTAAAACGTATTTATTGTGAATTTTTTCTAATCCACACAGGGTCCAAACTATACATACTCTTTGTTAAGGTCAGAACCCGGATGTCGAATGTAAACGTATTCAGCAACCACACAAAGCAAAAATACAAAGTTAAATTAGTTTATTGTTTCAGACAAAAAGAAACCTAAGGCGGCGGGACCCTGAGTACCAAGAGGCAGCTGTATCTGCGAGGAAGAGGAGAGGGGCATGAAAATCCAGGTAAGCTTGAATC